CTTAGGCCTGAACATGATATTGCGGGCATTGCTGATCCCTTCTTGCAGGTCTGTATTGGTGCTACATTAGTCAATTAATTGAAATTCGATTAGGTTAAGCTCCTGAAGGTTCTCACAATTTTAGGTTGCGAGGCCGCTCAGCAGCGGTACGATTCAATTTGATCTTGTAGGTGAGGGGAATGATGAAGCAAGTGAAGCCATGAACGATGTGCTTGCACAAGCCATCACTGAGATGAAAACTACTTGATTTACTTCAATATCCATCTAGATCTTTTCAGAATTATTTTCCTTGTGAATTCAGCTTGACCCAGGTTGCTACCAACACCGAGACAACCCGGAATGCCGGTAATGCCATTCTCTACGAATGCGTCAAGGCAATCATGACGGTCGAGTCTGAATCTGGCCTCAAGGTTTTGGCGGTAAACATTCTTGGTCGATTCCTTCTTAATCGAGACAATAATATTCGTTATGTTCCCAATCAGCGCCGTTTGTGATTGATGTTTCCAAGCCTGGAGCATAAATAATCTTGCTACAGCGCAAACTCAAATGGTGTATAACATTCAGGTGGCCTTGAATTCGCTCACCAACGTTGTCAGCGAAGACATTGCCGCCGTCCAGCGCCATCGCATGCAAAAGTGTCGAACTAGGATGTGATCTGCGCAGAGATGTTTCGTACACAGGTGCAACGATCCTTGATTGTCTAAAGGATCCGGACGTTTCGATCCGCCAACGGGCGCTGGAGCTCACGTATCAACTTGTCAATGGCAGTAACATTATAGAGCTGGTCAAGGAGTTGCTCAACTACCTCGTCGTTGCACCACCTGAACATCGAGCTCTTATCTGTAGTCGTGTCTGCAACCCGCGTAACACTGAAGTCTAAAAATGACTCAGACTATCTCACAGGTCTCCACTGTTGCCGAAAAGTAGTTTTCCTGAGTTAGCGAGACACCCACTAATACCGTTGCAAAGCTTGACTGTAAGGTGATACCTACGCGTAGGTTTGCGCCCTCTGATAAATGGCAAATCGAAACTCTGATTACTATGCTATCGATTGCAGGTAATCACTGTGATGACAGCATTGCATGTGCAACCGTGGGCTACTTAACTCTATCTGAGGCGCTGCACGGTTTTGCAACGCATAAACTATTCCGACTTTTGCGGGATGAGCTGCCTCGGGTCCAGATAGCGCTAATGCACGTCGCTATTTGGTGTATTGGTGAATTTGGCAATCATCTCATCGTCCCCTACAATGACAGTCTAACCGAGGGCTACAGTGCGATACAGATTCCCGAGGTTTTGGGGCTTTTACAAGCTGTTCTCAAGTCTCATCTCGCCACTATCCTCACAAAGTCGTATGTTCTCACAGCTCTCATGAAACTTGCAAGCCGTCTTGATAGTGGACAGATTGAATGTCAGGAACTTGTGAAGCATTTTCCAGAGTAATCATGCGCAGTCACAATTTCTGCAATGCTGTAAACCGTAGGCAATTCATCACATCGTTGTCTCTGGAACTGCAGCAACGGTCCTGCGAGTATCTCTCACTATTGGATGGGTCGTGGAAAGAAGTTCTCCCGCATGCACTTGCTAGAATGCCCGCAGCTGATGCCACTATTCTCTGTGCAGCCCTGTGCACTATAAACATCATCTTAAGATCCCAACTTCGCTTTGTTACTAGGTTCGAGACAACAGCAGGAGGAAATATCCTCACATAGCCGTTTCTCTAGCATGGACCGTGTGAAGAAGGACCAGGAACCGCAAGGCAGTGCGGCCCTCGCGTCTCCACCAACGGACCTGCTCGATTTGGATGAGCTCCTCGGTGGAACGGTGGAAACATCTCGAGAACAGAGCTTGGCGGTCGATAGTCACACTGACAATGTGCTTCCAAATGATGTAGACCTTCTCTCCGATATATTTGCTGATGCCTCCTCTCATGCGCCTCCCCTCCAAATGCACTCAACCGAGCTGCCGGCATCTAATGTGCGCACATCATCGGTACCAGGCGAAAGAGTGGCTCGTGTTCCAGTCTACGAGAAGGATGGTCTGAGCATAACAATGGATCTACTAAAAAGTCAAGCGGATATCACGGTCACAGATATCATGTGTACGTTTTTAAATCACACACATAAGGACTTCGAGCGATTCATTTTTCAAGCCGCAGTTCCACGATATGTCTCGATGGAAATGAGGCCAGCCTCCGGCACCAAAATACCTGCTAATAATCTTGGCGCCATAACTCAAGCCATCACAGCGCTTATCGGTGTATGATTTTCGCAAGGCGTTGTGAGTTTCTGTCCTCAGGTCAAGAATACAATCCCATCAAAGCCCCTGATGATGCGACTGAAAATCCAATATGCGGTACATGAAATTAGTTTCTGGTACGGAACTTCTACTAAAGTCTCACAGGTCGGTGGTCGTCAAATTATTGAGCAGGCTCAGGTGTCTTCTTTTCCTGTACTTTAAGAGGCAATGTAGTGTTTTT